CTGTGTGGAGGAGTGGGCCAAAATCCCTGTTGCAGTGTGTGCAAACCTGGTCAAGAACTACAGGAAACGTTTGACCTCTGTAATTGGAAACAAAGGTTTCTGTACCAAATATTAACACTGATTTTCTCAGGTGTTCAAATACTTATGTTCAGCAGTGCAAGACAAATAAATTCTTTAAAAATCATACAATGTGATTTCCTGAAATTTTTTTTTTTAATTCTGTCTCTCAGAGTGGGAATGCACCTACAATGTGAATTTCAGACCCCTCCATGATTTCTAAGTGGGAACACTTGCAAAATCACAGGGTGTTCAAATACTTCTGTTCCTCACTGTATACATATCTTTTTTTTTTTTTAACTTAAAACGTGGTCTCCCCTGTGTGTGTGTGTGTGTGTGTGTATTGACCTGGTAGAAGTTCTCGTAGCCCTGGTCGGTAAGCGTGATGGAGATGGAGAAGATTGAGTAGGTGCTGTTCTGGTCGAAACCCGTCTCACTGTTTCCCCCAAACAGAGCCAGAGCCCAGCACCTGAAAACACACACTTTAGGCTACAGCAACACCCTGCACTTACTCCCCAGCAGTTTGCAGCTTCTCGGGCTTACTTCTTCCTGAGCAGAGAGAGGATGCTGCCGGTCCCTTCGTGTCCAATCAGCCAGGAGATGTAGTGAAGAGGCTTCACTCTGACAGAGAACACCAACACTCACTCAGTGAATTCACAGGAACCAGTGAACAAAATCCCATTTCACCTGACTGTGGTGTGTGTTTGGACTTTGCTGTTTCTGCAACATGATCTTTGCTCTCACTCAGTGCTGAAGCTACCATCGTGTTTCCATTTATCCAGACAGATCGAACCACAGTGACTGGGACTCACCTGTAGTGTTTTCCCTGAGGGGGGACGGCCCAGCTGATGGTCAGAGCGTGAACCTTCCTCACAGGAACCACTGCAACACAAACACCACTAATCTTGATACACACATCCCTTACATGTTTCTTCATTGTGACCCAAACACACACCGTGCACACAACTTAAGAGTGCACAAACGAACTGACAACACCGGCACAGCATTTAGAAAAAAAATGCTGCAGACAGCAGTAACGTTTCCCGAGGACATTAAAAGTGATGGACACCGCTGGGACACGCCTGTTGCTGGCACATGCCTGTTGCTGGCACGGCGACTTGTGAAGCTGCTGAGGCCGACCGTCTGTTACTGGTGCAGGAATCAGAATTCTGTATTTTGTTCTGTTCCTCCGTTTGCAGCTGTGTGTTGTCAGACCGGTGTCTACATCTTGTTATGTTGCTCGTGTTTTGATTATTATTATGTTTTCTTAAGCTCAAAGCCACCGTGACAGTGTCTGACCTCTGTAGAGTTTGTTGAAGGCCGGTGTGTCAAACGGCTGCTGGAGGTCAGAGAAGTCAGGCCGAGCTTCACCACTGAAACAAACACAAAAAACATGTTACAGCACAAACCTGTTGTCATTTTCCTGCCTGACTTATTCTTCTGCAACACTGTTGTCATTACTTACTGTTTTGGTGCAATATTGCAGCATTTCCACAAAACACAATTATGCAATATATACTGATACTACCATCATATCACTAACACCAGCAGCACCATTTTAGTAATGTGTGACTGTGTAAACTGGATCGGGTTTACTGTATGCAAGCCCATAATCACACTGTGTGTGTGTACATGTACGGCCAGCAGTGTGAGGACCCGTTTGAATTTGGGAATGAGGACATTTTGGCTGTTCCTCACTTTGTCAGACCCTTCAAAGGGCTGTTTGGGGGTCATGACTTGGTTTTAGGGTTAAGGTTAGAATTACATTTAGGTTAGGCATTTAACTGTGACGGTCAAGGTTAGGTGTTAGGGGCTGGGGAATGCGTTATCTCAGTGAGTGTCCTCATAGGAACAGCTATACAAACATGGGTGAGGTCTTACTTGTTGGGAACATTGATGAAGATCTCCCTCACCCACTGTTCCAGAGTGTCCAGCGTCTCTGCACAACAAACACACTGTCAGCTGCCTGGATCGTCTCCTCACTCACACACACACACACACACACACACACACACACACACACACACACACACACACACACACTCCTTCCTCACTGGTAGGCTAGCATGCTGGGCTGACTGTGTTTGAAGTTGATTTTAACATGCTAACATTAGCATTAAGACCGGTAGCACATTAGTATGCACCTGCGCCTCGGACTACAGATTATTTTCAATATCTATTCATATGCAGATTATTTTTGTGATTATTTAGTTTATCGTTCTTTTTATAAAATGTCATAAATTCACAAGGGCCATCTTTTTCCAATAAACAGCTCCAAAGGCTAAGAACAGTCATCGGTGTTCACAGTGTCTGAAGGAATACAGAGTCACTGGTCTCTGAACTGGTCTCGCTGCTCCACCAGCTCCTTGCGGCAGAATCAGTTGGTACAGAATCACACAAATACACAATCCCTGACTTATCCTTTAAGGAAAAAGCAATGTGTCCAATATTTTCCAAGCCTCATGAAACAAGGACTGGTATGGACATGTTTCAGTGTTACATTAACGGCGTCTTCTGCACCTCAACTTCCCCAAACAGCATAAACATGAAGCAGACATCTTAAAAAATTCTCTGAGAATGTGATTCACTCTGGTTGTGTTTGTGTTGGTACCTTTGGACTGAACGGCAAGCGTCATGTAATGAGCAGAGTAATATCTCCTCCAGAAGTCTCTGAGTCGCCGGTACGTGTTGATCTGTTTCTCTCTGGGCTCGTGTTTTAATGTCTGAGCGTTACCTGGCGGAAACATCAAAACATCTGTGAAATGCCACAGATAAGCCACTGTGTCTGCAAAATCCTTAAAATTTGATTTTCTAAAACATTTACAAACCATTTAGACCAATGTCATTACTGGTATAAGATGGAAAATGACAGGTGGGGAAATACTGTAGATAAAAAGCCCTTTCTATAAATGACGCTTATTTGTACTGATGGGAACACATGAATATGACTCGTAATGTTATGATTTCTCTTTTCTTTCTATGATATTAATGCTCTGATGTCATTACAATATGTAGTGCGTCATGGTTTTAAATCTGTCACTTCCTGTCTTTTGGCTATAAACAACACCAGGTGTAAACAATCTGTTTCTTACTATTCAGCCCTGACAAAGACCTGGTGAGACTGAAACCGGGCAATGTTTTAACTAATATATCCGACTACGTACTTCTCTAACACTAACTTTTCTTTTCTTCACCATAACTTTAACAGCTGTTGGATTTATAGAGAAATTAACAGTTTCAATTCTCTGACCTCCTTTTTAAACACACCAACTGCACTTCAGCCAATTCAGCCAAATAAAATAAAATGAGGTAAATACAACCGAGGGGCTCATATCTTCAGTGAGGCTGCTAAAAACAGCAGAGCAGTTATTAAAAAAATTCATGAAGGGGCAAAATAAACAAGTGTCCAGTATCCGGTACAAAAGTCTCAGTGTGTGTGCGTCTGTTGGTCTTACCCCAGCAGAACTTGCTCATAGGGTGCCCAGGTTTAGCCAGGCTCCCAAACAGCATCTCCTTACGATGCGAGTCCAATGGCCTCGCCAGCTGGTACTCTGAGCATACAGAGCGGACATGAGAAAAGAGCCACCAGGAACAAAAGAGACAGTGACAAACAACAATAACGTGACTGCAGCTGAAAATCCTGGTAGTCAGGGCATACCATAAATATAAATGTGTGACAACAGTGTTTAAAGCTAACTAAAGGAGCACTGGTGGTGAGCGGTTTGTCTCATTGAGGCCTCACCGCTGTCCACAGCCTCCACCTCTCGGTCGATGGCGTCCTCGATCATCAGAGGACAAATGAAGAACTGAGCCCACCTGAAAAACACACAGGTACAGCGGCGTGTCTGCTTATTAACTTTTACTTCTGTGTGTTTTATCTTTCTGTATCTTTTATCATTTGTAGATGGCAGACGCACACTGTGTTGTGTTTAAGGACGAGTAAACACCAAAAGCTTCCTCCTACAGAAATGTTCAGTGCCTTAGTGCTCATATTCACAAGTCCAAGTCGAGTCTGATGGGGACTGTGGGGACAATTCTGAAACATCACAAACAATCATTTGACGTTTGCTCACCAGCTAATGTCATGGACACAACCAGAAAAATTTGCCTGCAGAAACAACCTCAACACTCACATATGTTCATGTTTCCAGTCCACTGAGTGCCAGGCTAAAAGCAGCAACAACATGGCTGCTGAGAGGACATCAGCTGGTCTGTTGGAGAGCTGCTGAGTGTCTGTAATGAACCGGCTGACCTCCCATCACAAAGCCAGATGGCCACAAAGAGCTGCTGTCAACAATCTCACAATCTGGCCTCCACGACAGGGACGCCCAAGGACTCATGTTCTGACAGGAAATCCCTGCTCACCGGCCTGCGCTTTGCTATCAGACACACTCTGGACCTATGCGAGCTCTGCCACAGTTTCAGCAATATTCTGGTGTTTGTCTGAGTTGTAAAACATCTAAGAATTCAATCTGAACTTCCACAGAAACAAAGAAATGGGAGAAGGAAAAAAGTTTGTGGATGTGGCATCTGCCTCACCTGTCGAGCGCCTCTCTGAAAAACTTCCTCTGCACGTCAAACTGGAAGATGGTTCTTTCACAGTCGGTGGAGGCGTTGTCGCTTCCGCCATGCTTCTTCAGGAAGGCATCAAAGCCGTTCTCTGCTGGGTATTTCTCACTGCCCATAAACACCACTGAACATCAAGGAGGAGGAAATAAAAGATGAAAATGAAATGGGAAGAGGAGAAAATGGAAAAAGGGCATTAAAAGCATGTTTGTTCTAGTGAGGACATGAAGGAGCTAAGAGGTTGCTGAGCTGATCAGCGTAAATTATTGATCTGATCTGAATGAAAGTTTAACATGAGAATGTGACTCCTGAAACTGACAGGAGACGTCTCACTAGGCTACAGAAACACTCACCGCCCTCAGGCAGCTGCAAACAGTACGAATTATATGAAGACATTTAGCTTCCTCTCAGACTCTACTCACTATGTTCCAGGAAGTGTGCGAGGCCGGGGAGGTCGTCCGGGTCACTGAAGCTCCCCACACTGATGCACAGAGCAGCTGCCGCCTGAACACACACACACACACACACACACTTAAACTTGAGAATATAAGAATAAGAGATGTGATATCACTGGACTTCTAACACTTAAAAAAAACGTTACTTTAGATAAATGAGCCTTTACTCCACTCACCTGCTTCTCAGAGCTGCCTCTCTTCTTCCTCCCTGTGTTCTCCTCGTCCAGCTCCTCAAAGTCGCTGTCCTGCTCCTGCTCTTCATCCTCCTCCTCGTCCTCCTCCGACCCCTCTCCAGAATCCCGCTGTTCGTCACATTCTTCCTCCTCTTCCTCCTCCTCACCATCTGTCTCCGGACTGTCCTCTCCATTTTCACTGACTCCCTTCCCATCTGTCCCGCTGAAGTCAGAGATGAGAAGCGCTCGGAGCCCGTTAGTCAGCTCGATGTACCTGCAGAGAGAGGAGAGGACCAGCATCGATACTCTCTCTTTATCTCAGAGAGGAAAGAGTACCGTTCAGTAGAGCGAAAACACTTGTTAATCGATTAGTAAAATTATCAGCACCTATTTTGATAAACTAAGTTATCACACAGAACACCAAACATTCTCTGGTTCCAGATTCTTTCATGTCAGTATTTGTTATCTCTTTCCTAGATAGTAAAATGAATGCTTTGTGATTTTGGACAGTTTGTCTCCCACCTGTATTTCTTTGGGTCACTGGGTGATTTGATGATCTCAGTGTCTCCCTTTTCTTCTGCAGTACCTCCTCCATCTCCATCTTCAGCAGCCACCTGGACCTTAAAATTCGCTGACGCTGGCGGAGGCTCACCCTGGTCTGGAGCTGATACCTGTCCTGGCACAGAGCCACCGCTCACTGACTTGTTGGTCTGAGGCATTTTGACAGAGACCTCTGGAGTGACAGCGCTGAAGAAACACAGACGTTAACATATACACTTACAGCTATTTTTTTAGGTACATCTGTGTAACTGAATGCAATCCCACACCACAGCCATAAGGTCCGTCTTTATGACGCTCATAATTGTTCAGTCTTTTGGTGAAACTGTCAAACATTTAAATTCAGTAATATGACGATTACCGCGTACGTTGTCAAAGGTGGTGTCATACTAGAGTGTATTAAATTCAGAGGTGTTTCTAATATTTTGACCCCCTTAACAGAAAGGTCAAAAATACAGACACCAGTGAATCCACTACTGGTTTAGTCGTATCTCAGGTCGTATGTTATCATGTATGATTTTGCCGTTAAAATGGGTAAAATGAAAATATCAATAATTTGGTGGCAGTCTGATCTCGGATCAGAGATACTAACCCTAACGATATGAGCAGAACCTCGGTTAATTTTCAGTGAGTTTAACAGTTACTGTAGCTCAGCTGTCAGGAAACGCTAAGACGTTAGCAGGGTAACTGCTAGCGCTAACTCCTAATATTCACAGATAACGATACTTGGCGTAACTTTAAAGACAGATGGTAATTACGTTAGACCGTTTAACCGACTGCTATGTTGGTTAACTTAGCAATCGCTCGGTCTTGTGTCAAAATTTGCTCCCCTATTGAGATGTTTCCCCCTGTTAGAAATGTGCCCCCTCTGTGGTTGTGGTTACGCTTATAGCTCGGGTTCGGGTTAGGGGAAACACATTTTGGTAGGGGAACAGATTTCGACACAACACCGGCTTCTTTAGGTTAGTTGCAACATTGGCGTTACACTAGCTTCCACTAATCCCGTTGTTCAAAATGACACAAAAACGAACTGTAAATCAGTTGGTGTTCAGCACCACTGGCTAAAATGCGAGTCCTTTTATTTGCTCTCTATCTGGCCAAATAAATGTTAGTTCTAAAACATGAAACAGCAGTTCAATTTGTTACATTTTGTTTATAAAACACACTCACCTTTGGTTCTGTTAGCCTTGCGCTAATGGAAGTTTAGCGTTTCGGTGCAGCTAACTAGCATGTTTCTCAAAAAACGCCTGTGATTCGCTGAGAGCACATCAATCACAGACAAACGGGCCTCCTGATTGGCCAAATCTGTGACGATGAGGTAAAGGTTAGTTTCGAAAACAACATATCTGTATGTAAATGTTGGCCTTATTTACTGCCTTTCTTAGCCACATGAACAGCCACAAAAGATCTGTCTTACAGTATTGATACACAGAACTATAAACATTTAATATGTTTTAAATACTCTTTATTTTGTCATATGTATTTATTTATTTTATTGAGCTCAAATTATCTTTTCTGTTCAATCAAATGTTGGCTATGTGCTTGTGCTGTAATCCTTTTTTGTTTCTGTTTTATTGTTGTGTTATAGAGTGTAGAGGCATCATATTTATGTAATGTTATAGCTGTACCTTTTGTGTACTGTAATCAATACTTTGTTAATTAAGTTTTTAAAAAGCACTGGTAGTCATGCAAGTGATGGTAAGAAAAATAGGATACTACATTTACTTGAAAAATAGTCCCACAGGGGAAAACAGATTAATGTTTTGGTTAAAGATTGATTTTTATTATACTAAATTGCATCTATAATATACAAACATTCACAATATTTTGTACAATCACTTTGTGCTTCTCCCCCATACAGGAGTGAACTGTTAGACAACAAGTTTACATAAACTTTCTATATAATTTGTCCATGGTATACACAGCATAAAAATAAATCCATACTGAACACCATTATAATTTCTAATTCTATCATTTACAAATTCACTTAAAAAATAATCATATGAGGACAATGTCAATATTATTGTATGTTTTTATCCATGTAAGACAAATGGCGGGGAGTCACACACAGAAACGTGCGCTCTGGTAGCTATATAACAATTTGGCAGGATATTGGTTTTCTATCTTCATAATATCTAATAATAAATGCACGATTTTTTTCCCTTTTTCTTGATGTCATTCATATACACATGTACTGTATGTCAGCTGACATGACATTATCAAAATATCACACTTCCGTCAAAGATACTGTACACAAACACATAACCCCTTACAGCTGAACACTCAATACAGTAAATATCATGATAACCATATGCAACAATAGAACATGTTGGCTCTACTATCTCACACACACATCCACACACATTCTTGTAGGAAACACTGCGAACATGACGGTTACATGACTACACTTGCTAAAGGGGAAGAAGAGAACCATGTACTCTGCTCATGTGTGTGAGTATAAAACACCCTCAGTATGGCGTTGGATTGTGTCAGCCAGTGCAAAAGCTATAAGCCACCATGAAGCAGGGCTGCAGTGCTCGGCGGTCTGGGCTTGAGTCTCTGGCAGCCTGGAGGGGGTCTGATCTGAGACTTGGACCTGATTAGTTTTTTGTTCTCTTTCTTGGGTCCAGTTTCATTTATTCAGATCCTTATATGGAAGTTTGTTAGTAACAAAATCAAGTAAAAACAAAACAAATTTTACACAAATTTTAACAAATTTTGTAAATAAATGTCAAGATTTGACAGTGTGCACGCCGCCACCTTTAAGCTCCCATTAAACCCAGTGCAACCATACCTGTTGTGCGGGACAATATTTACTATGTCTTAGTTTGTGGTAATTTGATAATACACAACTTTATTTAAGAACATGCTCCACGTGAGGACAACATAAACCAAAATTATAATAGTCTTAAAACTAGAGTTTAACACAGGGCCGCCTTCCATAGGACAGAGCCTCAGAAGATCTGGGACAAAAGAGAACACCATTCAGAAGTTACAACTACCCGCTCAGAGCCTGTTTGACGTATATGAAAGAGCATCACATTGATTCACCAAAGAAAAAGGGATTTTCAACTAATTATGAGATCTACATTTCATATTTATGAGTTTGCATCCCAGGACTGTGTGATTTAGAGAAAACACTGAATGTGATATGACTCTTAAATGTGAAAATGTTTTCTCATCATTAAGAGATACTGTGTTCTGAACAAGCAGAAGTCCTAGAAAACACCTGCTTTATTTTTTCTTTGGTGAATGCACTGTAGATATCTGTGTTGTTCATTTGCGCTGGAACCCATATTAATCTAAGTAGCAGTTAGCGGCTGGGTCAAACCCTGCTTGGGGAGCTGGCATTGTATTAAAGTTTGTTAGGGAAAGTGCAACATCCAGAACATACTATACACTAATTTTCTACTTGCACTACTAATCAAAGCAGACCCTGTGAAAACATCACCAGGCACTCCCATCAGACCAGCATTAGACTCTGATGTGGGACTGGCTTGTGGACTCAACCCGGTCCTGTTTGGTCTTGACTCAAGATGATTTCGGCTGCAGCCCTGCCTTGGAGTTGTGCGTTGGTGGTGTAGCCCTAAAGCGTCTTTCAAGCCAATAACAGCACTAAGTAAGGCCAGTAACAGTTAATGGGATATAGGCATATTGTACTAGTGTGGATCCAACTATTACTAGCTATCTGAGAAGCAGGCTGTCTGATGTTTGGACGGATGACTCGGCGAACCACTGCCACCTGTAAACTTGTGGACATGAGCAGCTGCGGTGGTGTGGGTTTCTGTTTGTGCTACACTTTGAGGAGTGGCAGTGCTGTGCTTTCCTGTGGACCCTGCTTCCTCTGGCAATGCACTCCAGCAAAACATTAACTTGGTGTGTTCAAAAAACAAAGGTGTTGCTACATAACCAAAGCAAAACTGCGAGATGCACATTGTCACACGTTCTGTTAGCCACCTGCAATTCAATGTCATATTATTAAAGGCTTTTTTTTCTTGTCTGTGAGCGTTCATGTCATAGAACAGCTTAAAATGGCAGCTGTCTGTCTTTCTGTGCTACTCACTCATTACTGGAGATCCCAGCTGTCTGTCTCAGTAAACACTAACAAAGTAAAATAGAAACACTCACATAGTGGCCCTACTACTTAAAGCCAAGTGTTTGCTCAAACAAACTGAATGTCTGCAGTGCAGGAGGGTAAAGGTGTAAAATGGTCGAGTGACTACTGCACATCTGGATGTGTGACAGCTTAAAATACTGTGCCTCAGTACAACATTATGTCTATTAAATGTTTATCTTTAACAACAGTGGTGGAAAGTAACCAAGTACTTTTACTCAAGTACTGTACTTGAGTATTTTCATTTTCTGTTACTTCACACTTTGACTTCACTACATTTTAGAGGCAAATATTGTATTTTTTACTACACTACATTTATTTTATAACTTTAGTTACTAGTTACTTTTCAGAACCAGACTAATACAAAAAATACAATATAATTATAAGACCTCATTGATTTATGGTTGAAAATTCACAAGCTGCCCAACAGTAATTCAAATTAAAAGCATATAGGCCAGTTATATCTAGCTCCTCCTTTACCAGCTGCAGCATTATATGTGATGTACACAGTAATGCATCATTCATTATAATACAATAATATGATACAGGAATGTGAAAAGTGCCATTCAGCATAATGAGTACTTTTATTTTTAGTACTTTAGGTATGTTTTGATGCTAATACCTTTGTACTTTTACTTAAGTAACATTTTGAATCTAGTAGTTTTACACTGTTGTACTGCTAGTTTTACTCAAGTAAAGGATCTGAGTACTTCTTCCACCACTGTTTAACAGTGAACTTTAGAGATATGTTAATCATTTTTAGCCTCAAGTTTAGCCCCAATACTGGAGCTTTCAGAAAAACATTATTATGTTCCCCTCCTCTACTGGATGATAAACTGCTCTATAGTAAACAAGACACAGGTTTCAGTGGTACAAAGTACCAGAAGAAAACCCACCCCTGAAAACATGCACACTCCACAAAGAAAGGCCATGACTGGGGTCGATGTTCAAACTCGGAACCTTCTTGCAACACCCGTTGGTACAAATATGTCTCTAAAATAAAATGTACTGACTTACTGTCCCATTAGCAACTGAACTAACTAGCCTGACAACTAGCAGTTAGCAAACTAGCAAGTTTGAAGAACCACTGTGGCTTTTTTTTTTTGCTGGCTAGCATATTAGTGGTTAATTAGCTGCAGTGTGTTGTCATCTATCCCTGCAGGTATTCCCTGTGTCACCAAGCTTCTAGCAAGACGTATTTTATTTTTCATGGAATGTATAAAAAGATGGTCATCAACCCCACCCCCTCCTGGTTTTGCAGATGGGACATGAGCCAAATTAAAAAATTGAAGTACATGTCAAGTACATTTTTAGGTGCTCTGTGTATGAATGTTCATTTTTATAAGTTTGTTTTTAGTAAGTTATTTGATGATATAAAAGGCTGTATTTCAGATGAATGACAGCTTTGATTGGCCATCTGATACCACAGCTCCACCTCGGGCCGCTACTGTGCAGAATCTGGTTACAAAATGTGTCACAAAAGCAAGATGGCTTCCTCTGTATTGTGGCTTCAATTGTGCACCCATATGTACAGCATGCGATTTTGTTTGAAGAACACAAATATAACATTTCCTGTGCCAATTTCTATTGTGATTTAGTCTTTCCTCCTCTGACTACATCTCATGCCCCCCTGAAACAAAACTGAATGTCATTAAAGAATCAGACCAGGTTACAGTTGCAGTACTAGCATTTCTTCACAGCTACGTATATATTCAGTGGTTCTGCAGCCTTTTCAAACACACCAAATTCAGTTTTGTTTGGAGTACAGCGCTGCCTTTACTGCTCCATCTACGTAAGGGCCAACCTCAGATACGTGGGGGCAGGAAAGGAGTGACACAGGCTATATAAATGCTAGTTAGCAGAGACAGCAGTAGGCGTAGTGATTAAGGGCCGCTCACAAACATGGACTGAAGCAGAGAGAGTGTGATGAGGAATGTAACAATAGTTAATCTGTTTTTTTTTTCTTTTTCTTGAGAGTGTGGGGGGGAGACAGGGCGACAGCAGAGGTGTGACAGCGATGGACGATCAGCAGCACTTCTGAGGTAGCTGAGCGGGCTTGTCGGTCAGTCTGGTGGTCTTGGAGCCGGGAGCCACCGGCACATCGACGTCCACGCGCTCTGACATCTTCACACAGATGATGTCCACCAGGCGCTCGAAGACCTGCCGCACGTTGATGTTCTCCTTGGCGCTCGCCTCGTAGTACTCGAAGCCTGCAGGAGGAAACAGGAAGTAAAACAAGAAGCTTTGTTAGTGCTCCGGTAGTCATAAAGAAGACTGGGGCTTTAGTTATAGAAACATTTTCTCTTATTTCATTGATTAGATTAAACCGCTGTTTGGCAGAAGTTACTGAGTCAAAAGGTTTGGAAAGCTGTGGCCTCAGTGTTCACAGCTTTACTTTGGACTTGAAGATGTGCACTGGGTGTGGTTTCATTTAGTTTTGTATCTGAAGGTGTGTTTGCTGTGTTCAGACTCCTCTTCCCACTTAACAAATACCTAAAGCCTGGCAAGACTTCTTCAGCTGCAAGATCCCAATCCAGATGTTTGAACACAGGGTGACACAGGTCCAGGGTGGAAAACTGACTCCAGTATCTGCCAGTACTCTGTTCACTCACCATTTCTTGGTATAAACCAGGTTTAATCACATGACCTTGCTTGTGTCTCATTATGAAATAAACTGGTGACGTTGTCTGTAATTTCTCCCCAAACTGTGCGAAACTTATTGCCAGAACAAACTCTTATTCCGCGGAGCCTGCAGCGTGTTCATTTATTCAAGTGTAGTATCAGTGAATAAACAGCTCCTGGGTAAAACCAGCATTGTACATTCAAAATTAAAAGATCTCACTGGTCCTGGGCAACAGATAAAACACTTACAGTATTTAGGTATCCCTCAGTACACACATCTTGGGGTGAAGTCACTTTCTCCTGGAGCCGAACTGGTTTAACAGCTAAATACTGGACAAACATTTTGGTTCCATGACACTGCAAAGGTTTTTCGTACTTTGAATTTGGTAAAGCTCTGAATGCAGGATGTATTTCTACACTTTTTGTTTAAATAAAAGACTGTGTAGGAGGACTGGTGCTGTTTTAAAGCCAAACATGGTCACATCAAATACTGATTTGGTTTAGTTTTTCCTCTGCTCCACTTTGTAGGAGTTTACTGATAGATGAAAACTATTCATGACAAATTATTCTGGAGAATATTTGGACTGCATTTTTTTGTTTCTGGCTGAATATATACCCGGTTCCTCAGCCCAGTTCAGCCTATATACAGCGTGGCTGGTGCTATTTCCACATCTGGGCTGTTTCTGGCTGTCACTCAGCACTGGAGGTCATTGCTGAAGTATGTGGGCCAGACCCGGGCCACATACTCCGCCGTATACTGGACCAGAGCCTTTCACTAAAACCATTATCTCCATTTTTGAAAGAACCCTCACTTTACTTTTAGTGTCTAAAACTTGTGTGTAGTACTGTATGTTTGTAATAGATGCATCTTTTGTGCTTCTAAAACTAAAGTTTCTGGAAGACTTGTGATTTCCTGTTGTTCATTGCTCCCGTTGGTCAACGCTTATGTTTCCTAGCAGCTGTAAAGACACTGCTAAAGTCTCAACTAGCTAAGGCATCTCTTAAGAAGTTATTATGCAACTCAGTTTTTAAATCACTAGTTTGAAACTGGCTGCAGTTACTGAGAATTTAGCAATGGATTCATGCAGAGCTGCTGGTCCACGCCTCTGACTGGCTTCTTTTCTACAGCAACACTGCTTTAAAGAGCTCCTTCAGGTAACATGAACCCTCCTGTGGAGCCATGGCACAGCTTTGTTTCCATCTGTGAAACCTGAGCTAAAGAGTATTTTCCATAATATTTACCATCTGAAACCTGAGTTAAACAGTATTTTGCAGCAGTGTCTCACCTAACTGGTCGGCGAGGTGTTTTCCTTTCTCTGGAGGTACGACCCTCTCCTCGTCCATGTCGCACTTGTTGCCCACCATGATCACCTGAGCGTTATCCCATGAGTAGGTCTTAATCTGAGTGGCCCTGGAAACACACACACATGAAGGCGGCAACATAAATCATCACCTGCATCTGTTAAACACAAGCTACAGGCCAACTACACACCAGTCTTGGACGGCGTTGAAGGACTCCTCGTTGGTGATGTCATACATGAGGATGAAGCCCATGGCGCCACGGTAGTAGGCCGTGGTGATGGTGCGGTAACGCTCTTGTCCTGCCGTGTCCTGGAAACACAACCAGTCACATATTTGCGTCAAGAAGAAACTCAACTGATGTTAAATGAAAACCAGGGTCTGCAAACAATCCCACAGCAAAAGATACCACACACCTAACAGCTGGATAAATAAAGACGTCGGGGACACGAGGCTCATTGATCCAGTCCAGCATGAACATCTCTCTTTAGTCACCAAACAGCCTGACTCAGTTCACCCTCCTCTCCTCTGAAGACTCAGATCTGCCTTATGTGTATTGATCCGCAGATTGCCACTCGACCACAACACACTGGCCGAGCCTCAGCGTGACTTTCACACCCATCCACTCCCACATCCCTCAGTCGCCATCCTCCACCATTTCACCCTCATGCCACTACAGCTGGTCTGGATGCAGTCATTCTCCTACATTCAGCATTTTCCTGCTCTGCTTCCTCTGCACTCATTCAACAATCCCTGGCTTTCTCTTACTTTTATCTTGATGGATACAGTCAGGGCATGTTTGCATTTAATTAACAGAGATTTGATGTGGAGCATGATTACGTGTTTGTGTGTGAGAGAGAGACTATGACAGAGCCACATTAATCATAGGGAGTGATCAGCAAAGCCTCAGACAGTGGCTAATCCAGCTGAAAGCAGAAATAAATGGGTTTGATTTCCACGGCAACACTCCAGCAGCATGGCCAAATGTATGTGGACAGCTGAACACAGCACCCATATGTGAAAGCCAAGTGTGTGATTGCGAGCCCATATTCATTAACCACTGCTCTGAAAGCCTCCACTCTTCAGTTTTTCCACCAGGTAGAAAAATGTGCAGGAAGTTGTTCCCATTCAGACACAAGAGCATTAGTGAGCCTGATGGTGGTGATAAGGTCTGGCTCAGAGTTCGTGCTCCAATTCATCCCAAAGGCAGGAGGTCAGGCCTCTGTGCAGGCCTGTATGTGAACTGGGCTGTGCACATACATGTGGCCATACAACATATCACAATATGGAAAATGTACACATTTGATGATTAAAGCAAAAATCTGAAAAAAAAAATCTGAGCAAAAAATCTCCATTGTATTAATGAATTAATTCGTCCTAACTATGGATTCTTAAAGTTACAAAGTGGTAACTTTAAACTGTCCCCACTGGTGGTTACCAGTGACCAGAGCTTGGTGAAATACTATAATATTCAGCAAAATGCCAGTATCTTATAGGAAGACAGCCACTGGCAAACTGAAGAAGACACACACACACACACACACACACACACACATATATATACATATATATTCATTCTTCATTTGATTGTGTTTGCAGTATTTTTCTAAATGCTGCACATGTTCTCACAGATGTTTTACTGCATCTTCAAACATGACTAAAGGTGAGAACTGCTGCTCAGTCTAACAAATATACACTTGTGTCATTGTTTGTGTCTGAGCTTTGTGTCTATTTTCATTCATGGCTGAGCCTCAAACTGAATCGGTCGGCTCTGATTAGCTCTACTCATAGCACTGACCCCCCCACCGGGTACCAGCCTCCTCACCCCGAGAGGTCTTTTTAATTGCCACTGAAGACAGCACTGTTAGTGCGTGTGCACACGTGTGTGTACATGTGTAAGTGTGTCGGCAAGAGAGCGAGTGTGTGTGAAGAGCTGCTGCCATGGCAACAACATCACCACTGATGAGACAAGCTGTAGCCCAGAAGTCTGTGTCTGCAGCTTGTTGTCGAGAGAGCAGAGCATCATGCTACTCTGCATCACACTGACGGGTAGTGTTACACTGTGCCATGTTATGACATGTTACTGTGTGTTAGTATGTTACAATACAATATACTAGCATATGTTGTTATGTTACAGTATATGTGCAACACACTACAGAGTATTAAATTACCAAATGTTATCATTTTATTTTACTGTATATTACATTACTGTAATGTGTCTCTTCTCCTCTCCTCTCCTCTGGTCTCCTCCCCTCTCCCCTCCTCTCTCCTCCTATCTCCTCTCCTCCCTTAAATCATTACGAAGAAATAAAAGGAAGCCACAAACCACTAGTTATCACACTGCCCCCTACATAATAAACACCCAACTCTTTTCTCCATAGTGAACACAAATTGAGTTTTTTATTAAGTGTTATTACTGGTAGGTGTAGTGTGACACATCCACCCATCCTCACCCAGATCTGGAGCTTGATCCTCTTGTCGTTGCGATACACTGTCTTCACCTTGAAGTCGATGCCCACGGTGCTGACGAAGGAGTTGCTGAAGGAGTCGTCAGCATAGCGGAACAGGAAGGATGTTTTTCCAACGCTGCTGTTGCCGATGATTAGCAGTTTGAACATGTAGTCAAAGTTCTGGTCGGAGCCATCCCGCTGGCCGAAACGCTGGTCTGCCTTTGCCATCTGGGGGTTTGGTTTGATGGGAGAGAAAGAACAACCATCAGCATTGTTACTATGATTAATTAAAATGTGGGCTTCAGTGATGACAAGAATGATATGTTTTAAATTTTACATTTTATGATCCCCACATTTCCAGTTTTACAACTGAAGCATGAGTTGCCAAAATGTTTGTAAACCCTCAAATACAAGCCTGGAGCCATGAGAGCAGCACTGGGAGGCTTTAATTAGACACAGTTGTGCTTTGAGCTAGATGCTAACATGCTAACAATGACAGTGCTAACATGAAGATGTTTAGCCACGTTCACCATTTAGCATGTTAACATGCTAAAATATGCTAATTAATGCAAAACCCAGAGTGCTGAGTGTTGTTAGTTTTGCAGGTCTTTGGTCTATGTTGGTTTATGTTGGTCCAAATGTTGAACCCTCAAACTGGCTGTGCTGTAAGCGACTCCCATGTCAAATGCAGGTAACAGTTTTTCTTTTTACATGTTTCTTTGACAACAGTTTCCAACCTCTTGCTGTGATTAATGAGCCAAAACCTCCAGGGATCTGCTCCATTTTCTTCCTGGAGACATTTTAAAAGTTTTTAGCCGACTGCAGCAGTGAGCTACTGCCAAAAACGATTCAGCTCAAAGCGCCAACAAACCCAGAGTGTGTTAAACAAAGACCAGTGCAAACAAACAAACAGAGAGACTCTGCCTGCTGAGCTGCCTCTGTGTTGCACCTTGCAGACAGGTAGAGGTTTCATGGGTTAGTGTGTAAGGACTGAATGAATGTAAGCAGCAGATGAGTCAGAGCTAAACGTCCTGCTGGGTTCAACCTAGCGTGGAAGGCTGTGGCAGTGGAGACTCATCTGTTGTGTCAGGGACTGGGGGAGGAAAAATGACTACAAACATCATCTGACATTATAATTCTAGCTGCAGGGAACGAGGCACTGACACTGCTAATCTCTGGATTTTAATGTGCTGTTAAAATGCGACTCATTCAAGACCATTTGGTGGAAAATAAGGGACTTTCTTCTGCATGTCAGGAGTGATGTTTGAGATGTGTTCTACTGATTCAGTACAGTAGGTTTAAAATGCTCAAGGTGAATAATGTCTGCTGCAGATCTGTCACTGTGCCGCTGCTCTCTATTCATGACATGTCATGTTATCTATTGTCTATGAGACAGGCAGAGCCTGTGTTCCCATCACGCTCATCGTAACCATGTTATGATTTTGTACAGCATTCAAAATGAAGAGCTGTCACAGTGGAGTGTACTGACAAAGCAGCAGCTTGTTGATTAAAACTCCGGGGTTTGTGTGTGAATAGACAATGGAAATGAAACAGCTAGAAAATGAACACTGACATGTATGACAGTGTGCAATGTCGAAGTTTCCTCTTTATGACAGAGATTTACATGTTTCCTGTCTGGTCCCTTCTCTGTGTTCTCTGCAGCAGCAGTTAGCATCAAAAGACCTCCAATAAACTGACTGTCCACCGCCTGCCCAGCACCAGACAGCGGACAGAAGCACTGAGAGACTAGCTGGTGAACAAAGCAAAGCCTTTAGCAGCTAAAGACCAGATAGAGCCCAAAAACAGAGCTTAAAGAGAGGGAGGCTGCTGGGTAACTGGAAGCTGGTTGCTAACCCCTGTCAGTGTTTCATGTGTCAGAGTTTTTCAGCCTAATGCAGCAGGAAAGCAAATTACAAACAGCTTCATGGACAAAAAAAGGTCTTCAGGGATGAAAAAGTGTTTAAAAAACAAACCTTTGGCAAAAATTGTGACAACTTCCAAAGTTCTAGTTTGAATTGTTTTTAATTTGTTTTTCAAGGGAGAACTGATCAGCAAAATTTCACTGAATACAGTAGAAGCTGCAGGCTAACCAGCTAGCGTGGGTGGTACTGAGGAAAAAATTTCAGTAAAAAAAAAAACATGTTAAGTTTTCTCTTAGATCATCATACTGCAAAATAAAAACGGAATAAAAGTCATTCAACAAACAGCAGAGAACAAAGGGCAACAACGCCTTACAGTGTGTATTTGGTAGATGATTATGGAACAGCGGGAACTGTTGCGCAAACACAAGCTAGGCTAACGACATCCTGACAGTAGCGTTAATTAGCAAATAGCAGCAGGCTAACACACAACAGGCTACTAAAACCAATGTCATGGCGATCATGTCAGAATGCTAACACAGCATGCTTTGTCTAAGCCCACAGCTAGCATGGCCGCAGACTCTATTATTTAAAGCTTGTTCCAAATCTTTAATTTGGACAACAAAAATCTGCAGGAAAATGAAATCGCATTATCCCAGTATTCGGTTTAAATGATAATATTATTTAAAACCCGTTCACCATTAGTAAAAAGCACCATAAAATCTCAATAAGGCCAAAACTCCAAGCCAGCAACAGTACAAATCCTGTATGCAGCTGTAAGATATGTTAGAAAACATTACAAATATAGAAACTACACTGAATCCAGGCCAAACACTATGACAGTATACGTCCTGTAACATCAATTAGCTTTCTATAAGTCATTATGTCCATCTGGTGATTGGCTACAGTGCTATCTTAAACTCAACATACAGCTCCACAGACACACTGACAGGTATTCTGGAGTAACAGTATGGAGATAACTGAAAAAAGCCCCATATATTAAGGAACCTCGGTTCACTTGGTTTCATCATTAACATACACCAGTCTAAAGATGTTATAGACATCCTATAGCAGATTGAAACGAACCATGAGGCCAACAGAGGATCAGTTACAGAGAGCCACACACAAGCTGCACCCGTGAGCTTATTATAGAATATCAGACGAATATTGGGGCATTTAGGATTATATATAACGCCTATAAATCGGAGGGGGTCGACCAGTCCGAGAGTACTGACGGCGGAGAAGCAGAAAATCGATCGGTATTAAATCAATATTAAGCACCATAGGCACACTGTAGCCGCCTATACATGTATGATACGGAAGCTTATTTGGTGTATTAACATATATATTGAAAGACACCTTTAATTTGAGGTGATCACAGGAGGATTACGGGGTGTTGGGGTGTATGTGCTCCATTGTGGCACCGGTTCAGGTGTGATCGACGTTTCTGGATGCACATCAGCAGGCCGGTGTGTGTGTGTGTGTGTGTGTGTGTGTGTTCATTAAACCGGTGCTAAACGGTGCTGTCACCGTGTTTTCTGTCTGTCTTACCTCTGCTGGGTGGATCTGATGCGCTCTCTCTGCTCTGCGCCTCACAGCTCGCTCGGTGTCCCGGCTCCAAAACAGTGAAGCTGTAATAAAACCCCGAATTTATCCGCAGCAGCAGCACTAACGTTTCCGATCTAATCCTACGTTCAGGAACTCAGGAACACCGGTGGCGTCGTTTGCGATGAGCACGGTGGAAATTTTTCTCCACAAACGAGGTAAAACCGCCTGTAAAACGTTCCCGCGGTGCCGCACGCAGCTTCCTTATGCGCGGCTTTACGCTGGCATCCTTCGTTAGTTCAAGGAGGGAGCGAGGCGATGGGAATATTTGCAAAGGCGTCTGCTGCCTGTCACCTCCTCCTCCTAAAAATAGCCACCACCAGCTTCTCTGTGAATGAACAGCGTTTTATTTATTTTTTTCTTCAGGATGAGTGCACGCGGATCCTCCGCCCTATCACGCGGCAGATCCGCAGACGCGCAGTGACAGAAGCGGCAAGGCGTTTGCTTGCTATGACTCATAACTGAGGCACTGAGGCGTGTAATTGCTTCAGATTAAATAAGGGAGACGTCTTCCGGAGAAGGAGACAGAACCTCTGGTTTGTGTTGCCGCAGCAGTAAACACACACACACTGGTGTGTTTTCTGCGGTGTGGCTTCGCATTCAGCTCACTGACCTCTGAGGGTTGTAGGGCCACAGCGGGGAAATGTTGCGGCACCACAGCGGCTGCACCTACTGCTGGTGAGATTACTGCTGAAAACCCCACAGCAGTGACGCAAAATTAACCGATGGCAGCCTCGATACACGATTAACTGTCATTTATCGGCTAAAAATACCAAGCGTTTTCTTGTCCCTTCTAAAATGTAGCGTTTCAGCATAAAGGCTCAGATCACATTGCTCATTCAATATGTGCTGTGGGGTCTACAGTAGTACGGCATACTGATGCTGTGCTAAAAGGCCAGTGTGCAGTAAAGAATTACAGCAGATCCCACACATTACAAATATACATGATGTGAGTATAAAGTAAGGCCTGGGGAGGCAGGGCTCAGTGTGTGAATCTATGAGCTGTGGCTGGATCAACCTGTTATGGGGCCTCTAGGGAAACATTTACTGCTGAGCAGTGATGCTTTAATGCCCCTGCAAGGCAATGTGGCTTACAGACAGCAGTCTATAATAGTAAATAAAAGAAGAACACAACGATTAAAGCACAGCTGCACAGGTTAACATCACAGGGCTCTGCTCTCTAATGTCTCTCTATGTCTGTCAGATGTTTCAATTTGGACCAAAGTGATGGCCGGCCTGTCACAGAACACACTAGCCAAAAACATACAGGCAGAGTCCCAGTGAGGTACTGGGCCACCACGTGCCACCAGGACAGCTCCACCTCGACTCTCCAAGTCTCTGACCACTCCTGGAGGGATGTCTGTCATCCTGGAGGAGACCACCCAGTGATTCAGGGCTTTTGTTTTATTTGTTACATGTTTACTGTGTTTGTGTTTCAATTTGCTCTTGTGATCTGTGACAATGGATTGTGATGAAAATGACAGAAAGAAGGATTTGGTCATAGTGCTACACTGTCATAGTCCGCTTTCATACACTACATGGCCAAAAGTATGTGGACAAGCAAAAACTACAGTCGTATATAAGATTACCGTAGACTGTGGCACATTGGGATTTAAAGGCGCAGTTTAAGATTACCGTAGACTGTGGCACATTGAGATTTAAAGGCGCAGTGTGTGAGATGTAGTGATACCTAGTGGTGAGGCTGCAGTTTGCAGCATAGTGTGGCTGACTTAACCAAGCAGAAGTGCTTACGGTGGCTCACTTCACCACAGTTACCCAGCACTGACAGTGTTCTGGCTACAGCTGTCGAACAAATGCTTGCATTTAGGCTAAATTACCTGTCTAGCAGAAAACAGGCACCTTCGGCATCATTCTGGAAACATTTGTACCTCATCAAAGATTTTCATCTGGTAAAAGCCAAACCATCGTTTATCCCTGTGCTGTCGCCTGTCCCGTTCTTTCCTGTCTTTGCTTCTTTGATGACGGGGATTCACACTGTCTTTCTTTTTCTTGTGCTAAAATAAAACTATAATCTTCCATATAATAAAATAATGTTGTGGTTCTCTCGACTGGAGCGATATGCTGTTTTAACTGGATCACCAAAAATCAGAGAACAGAATTCAGGTTACACAAAAACTTGTAAAAGAGAGCAGAGGCCAGATCAGGGCTCTATGGCTCTGTGCAGGCCAGTCACCAAACACCAAACTGGTAAAATGCCTTTTCTCTATGGAGCTGGACTGATGCACACTGACACTAAGCTGGTAAACACATCTGTGTAAAACATCAAGAAAAACAAACAAACAACAAGAAGAAGAAGCATTAAGACTTCCCTTCACTGCCCAAACCAGGAACACGACACCTGTCCATGGCTCATCTCATCTCCTGGCCTCAGAATCACACACCTGATGTAATGTGAGTGCGTGTCCATGAGATGGTGCTGTGATCCGTGGTTTGACTGATCTGTGCTCAGGCTAAAATGGCTGTGATGGGAAACGTTGTCACACAGTTAAATTGCAAAGTAAAATATAAAGCAAATTTCATTCCACCAAAGGTTCAGTGTGCTTCACGGTCAAATTAGAGCAAAGCACATATACAGATAACTGCTTCTACTTTTCCAAGATTGTCAGTTCTTAGTTACCCTCTACTGGATTACTTTCTTCCAAAAAGGGTTTAAAAGAGCTTCTCTTATTGTTATCGTTTTTGTTTAGTTTAGGTATTAGGGTTAGCGTCAGAGAGTGTTCCCACCTATTCAGAGAAGAAGTAGGTTACTGTACCTCCAGTTTCCAGAAAACACACAGAGCAGTATTATTATATACATGTGGGAGTACAAGTGTTACAATGTACAGCAATGTAAAATATACAGCATGTTAATGACATGGGGCTAAGTACTCTCACTACTGATATTTTCTTATGATAATTTTTGCTTCTAAAACATTAACTACATTTTTGACAATAATTGTGTGTTCTGCTAACTTTAATAATTTGGATGCAGAAGTATTTTTACATGACTCTTACTTGAGTAGTTTTAAATGTACTACCCTCTTTTCACAATAGTGCCAAAAATGTACACATACAAAATATGAATATACATTTTGCATATTTCAGTATTTTTTCTGCTTTTTTCATAAATCTCTTAAACAACTTCAGACTTGCTCAAAACTACCAAATATTCAATCCTTCTCAGGATTTTAACCCTTTAAATGCCATGGTTTTATACTGTAATGGGAGTGAGATAACAAAATGTGGTTTCAATGGAAGTCAATGGGGCATTTTTCAGTGTCAGGGGGGAGTATCTGGCACTACATAAAAAATACTAAAGCAGTCAAATCAATTTTGTTGCTAATCTTTGACATATCCAAGACTCTGCTCACCACTAAAACCCCATCCATTTATTATATGGAAAATAACTCATTTTTGGTGTTTTTTTTTGTAATAAATATTTCATCATTCAAATCATAAATTGGCATTTAAAGGTTTAAAATCCTGAGAAGGATTGAATGTTTGGTAGTTTTGAGCAGGTCTGAAGTTGTTTTTGTACGTGTACAATTTTGGCACGAATGTGAAAAGAGGGCAGTACAAATAAGTAGGGCACACGGGTTAAATACATTAAACCAACAGTAGGAGGAAACACTGCATTACAGGTGACATCATTTTCATTTTCCTAATTGAATGGTAGTTTTGAGCAGGTCTGAAGTTGTTTAAGAGATTTATGAAAAAGAAGCAGAAAAAATATAGATGTATGAAAAATTAATATTCATATTTTATACGTGTACATCTTTGGCACGAATGTGAAAAGTGGGTACAAGATGCATAAAAAGAGTATAAATGACATTTAAAAGTAAACACCACTGGATTTCAAAAATATAACTAAAAAGAAACTTTCCTGCCAAATTTCATGGCACAAGCTGCAACACAGCCAAAATGATCACCAAATCAAAAACAAAGTTCACATTTTGGCCTGAATAGGCCACAAGGGTTAAAGCCAAACTGGATTTGTGGGGACGGCGCGTCAACAGAGGCATTTTGGACATGTTTCAAACATTAGCGGGGATTTTGGGTGAGACTGAGCCTGAGCCTTCATTCTCCCAGCTGGTGCACGATCACCTGTCTTTGCTTTTAAAAGAGTTCGAGCGCTACTTCCCAACCACAAAGGACCCACGAACGGCCAAGGAATGGATCCGCAACCCATTTGTCAACAAACCAGGTGAATCCAGCAGGTCTGTGCAAGAAGAAGATCAACTGCTGGAGATCGCAAATGACGGCGGCCTTAAAAGTATGTTCGAGACAACAACTCTGTCGGTGTTCTGGATTAAAGTCATGACAGAATACCCTGAGATCGCCACCACAGCACTGAAAACTGAGACTTTGATGTTATACTCATGTTATGTTGTTGGCGCAATGTTACGAGGAAGCTGCTAATAAAGTTGCATACAAGTACACAGTGGATTCACATGTATTATTATATTTACAATATAAACAATCTTAAGTAGGGCACACGGGTTAACCAGCAGTAGGAGGAGACATTACAGGTGACATCATTTTCCCTTTCCCTTTCCCTATAACTGGGAGAAGGGCAGAGCTCCACCTCGGGAGGTTATAAATACAGCCCATGTCACGAGACGACACCCCAGAAAGATCCTCAACGAATTGTGCGACTTGTTATGGATTCGACTGGAGTTGGTTGGAAAATGATCATCTTCATCGGTGAGTCTAGCCTACACACTCGAGCTTTTATTTAACGTGACGCATTCAGATTTGTGAAGAAATCCGACGTTTCATGTCCGTGATTTGGGGACATCTCCTCAAGAGGCAGGTGTTAGCTGTCTGTTCCAACACTGTATGACCTTTAATTATTAAATCTGGCAGAAAAAACAAAACCAAACAGACATGGAGAATAAGCTAACGGGGGCGCAGAACAGCACACAGCCCAGTCTGTGTTTATGCGTATAGACCAGTGTCCCAGGTCACACCACACCACAGGTGCGAGGTAACTAAGGACATTTAATGTACGTTTACACGGAAACGCTCTTGACTGTAAACGCATAATTTCGTTAAAACGATTGCTGTGTAGACGGGAAGTATTTGTGTTGACATGAAAACAGTGAAAACGAATAAAACAATGTCACTTCCGCAAAGATTGGCGGACTGAGCGGTTGCATTGTAGTGTCGTTGTTAAAATCTTTTCCTCAAACAATTAATACGTTTGTGATATCCCCACCTCAACTTTATACTGGAATTCTACAAAGTACTTTTATGAAAGAACTAGCCCCAAAATGAACCGGTCAGGCCTTAAACCAAAGATGTGTTCGATGGTGAATAAAGGCAAAAAATATTTAGAAAACGTAAGGCCTATTACATTACTTAACGTGGACTACAAACTTTTTGCTCACATCATTGCAAGTTGATTAAAAGAAGGTATT